TCAGTGTATTCAGCCTCACTTTTCAAAACTCATTTGTCAAACATTTAATCATAATTCTTAGGGAGTTAAATCAATTGTGCAACAAAAGTTAACTTTTGGAACTTTCTTTGTAAATTACAAGTTCCTTTGAAAGCTTACTCAAGACCCTGTTTAAAACATAGTGAAAGAAAAAAAATAGTAGCTGTCCTTTTGCAATTGTAATTAAAACCAAAAGATAACTCTGAATAAATATTGCTCTCATGTTTATCCTGAGTACTGATGTTTAAGGACAATGCAGACTTACTTAGAGGAAGATAAGGAGTACTTAACCCCAAGAACCTGGTGCGTAGTAGTTACATGTTGCTGCTGTGTGCCTCGAGTCGATTCAGACTCATAGTGACCCTATAGGACAGAGTAGAACTGCCCCATAGGGTTTCCAAGGCTGTGATCTTTACGGGAGCAGACTACCACATCTTTCTCCCAAGGAGTGACTAGTGGGTTCAAACCACTGACCTCTCAGTTAGCAGCTGAGCACTTAACCACTGCACCACCAAGGCTCCTTAGTAGGTACATAGTATAGGTTAGTTAATACAGACTTTTGTGAAGATTCTAAAAGATGCTTCTGGGCTCTTTCATAAGCAATGGGGAGAAAATTAATTTCTGGGATTAGACAAAGTCCAGTTCATATACTTGTTCCTCCATTTCCTAGCGGAACTAGGCCCTGTGCTTGGTGCTGGGGACGTGGAGACAGGTGAGACCTGAAGGGACTAGGCCCTGTGCTTGATGCTGGGTTGTGGAGAAGGGTAAGGCCTGAAGGGACTAGGCCCCATGCTTGATGCTGGGGATGTGGAGCCTGGTGAGGCCTGACGGGACTAGGCCCCAAGCTTGATGCTAGGGACGTGGAGACTGGTGGGGCCTGAAGGGACTAGGCCCTGTGCTTGGTGCTGGGGACGTGAAGGGTGGGGCCTGAAGGGACTAGGCCCCATGCTTGATGCTGGGGACGTGGAGAAGGGTGGGGCCCGAAGGGACTAGGCCCTGTGCTTGGTGCTGGGGACGTGGAGACTGGTGGGGCCTGAAGGGACTAGGCCCTGTGCTTGGTACTGGGGACGTGGAGAAGGGTGGGGCCTGAAGGGACTAAGAGTCAGGTTGAAGAATCTGTGAGCTGCAGTGTGGGGGAGTCCAGCAGTACACAGTCGGCAGCCATCGCTATAACGCTGTGTCAGGCAAGGTACTTTGAGTTTTCTCTGTATTATTTTATTCAATTTTATTTAATTCCCATAAGTACCCACAAGGTTTTGTCATCCTCAGTTTATGTAGATGAAGGAACTGAGACTCAGTTTTGTAACTGAGAGGTTAAGTTGCTTGCGTAGGTGGGTGGATGGCCCGCTGAGATCCACACTTAGAACTGCTGTATCTCAGTTTACCATTGCTACCTCTAGAATTCCTGTATTGCCATTTTAATTAATTTAATTTAGTGATCAGGTACACATATGTTTAATAGTGAATTAAGAGTCTTCAGAGCAAATTAATTCATGAGAACAATCACATAACTTTTTTTCTCCTAACTTAATTTGGGTGACATCGCTTTGTCTCTCATGTCACTTAAAATCTTAAACAGCAGTGTGGACTTCCTGGATGCATGTCTGATTTTCAGGCGAATCAGTAATGCTCTCACCTGGCCCGTGGGTTGTTACAGCCATCTTGATTTCACCTCTTTCCTCACACTTCTCTGTCCTTCACCACTGAACAGGGAATATTGGCAGTGCGTTATGAACTTATAAAGTTGGTGACATCTGTGGCACAGGACCAGCAGCAATGCTTTCCATTGTGCGTGGGGTCACCATAAGTTGGGACAGCTAACAGCAACAGCAGAACAGTAGCACAGCTAAATCTCAGGAAGAGATTGAGGACGGCTGATACCTGTGAGCTGCTGCACAGCAGCCGACCCAATGGCTAGTGACAAGAAGGGGAGCTTAAAGGGACAAAATAATGCTTTATGCATATGTGAGTATTAGCAGAGGTCAAATTTTAAAGAAAATAAAGTCTGAAGTATTTAGGGAAATGTCACATAGAGCTGTTAGCATTATTGAATGAGTAACACGCTCTTCTCTCTAGACTTAAAGTTATGAATTATGGAAAAGGAACTGTGTTTATCTTTGCTATTCTTGTAGTTAAGGAGCTCTGGTGGCACAATGGTTAAGCACTCAACTACTAACTGAAAGGTCAGTAGTTCAAACCCACCAGCAGCTCCATGGGAGAAAGACCTGGCGATCTGCTCCCATAAAGATTACAGCCTAGGAAACCCTACGGGCCAGTTCTACTCTGTCACATGGGGTCCCTTTGAGTCAGAAGAACCATCTCGACTGCACCCAGAAACAACGTTCTTGTAGTTAACTAAGAAATCTTTAGTAAAAATGAATGCTAGTTAATCCTTTTAATTTTGGAATCAAATTTAATGATGTCAAAAACTGTGCTTCTCTTGCAAAATGAAAACTATAGAAAAAACATTAAAGTTAAATGCATTAAGACCTCATGATGAAGTTATTTCTGGGTTTCATGCTGTGGGAACATGTACTGTGTGACAGACACTATGTGAACCTGAGAGAATAGTCACAGAGTGTGGCGGCGTCTAAAGAGTTTGTCTCATTTGGACTTCGTTTATTTCATTCATTCATTTGATAGACTGTACATTGAACCACCTCTGTGTACCAGGAGTTGTCTAAGTGCTGGAGATAAAACAGTGAATAAGATAGACTTGGAGTATGCACGTCCAGTGGGAAGTATAGACAAGTTAACCAATTAGGAAACAGTGTGATAACTACTTCAGAGCTGTCTGAGGAAATACAGGTTACTATTAGGAGCCCTGGCGGTGCAATGGTTAAGTGCTCGGTTGCTAACTGAAAGGTTGGCAGTTCGAGCCTACCAGCAGCTCCGCAGGAAAAAGAACTGGGGATCTGCTCCCATAAATATTACAGCCTAGAAAACTCTATGGAGCAGTTCTACTCTGTCACATGGGGTCGCAGTGAGCTGGCATCAACTCAGTAGGAACAGGTTTGGCTTTTTTGGTTTCCTTTAAAGAGAGAGCAAGGTACTGGGTGGTACAAATGGTTCGCGCTCGACTACTAACCTAAATGTTGGCGGTTTGAACCCACCAACAAAAACAGCATTGGAGCACTGGAGAGCCCTGGAAAATCAAAAAAAGTCTTTCAGGAGAAAAGGACATCTTGGCTGAGACTTAAAAGATAAAAAGAACTGAGATAGGTAAGGACATGAGGGGGAGGGGTAAGTGCATACCAGGCAGAGGGAACACCACATACAGTGGATAAGACGTGAGAGAGGTGTGAGGTCAGAGACAGAAGGGGGTGGTGGTTAAGCAGGTTGCAGATTACTGGGAGTCTTGTAAGACAAGTTAGGTAATTTAGACTTTGTCCTGTGAGCTCTGAAGAGCCATTGAAGAATTTTAAGAAGTGATTTGGATTTTTTTTTAAAAGCCATCAGACCATAATGTTACCACCGAGGTCATGGAGGCCCTCCGGACTCAATGGGTCTATGTCTTTTTCTTGTAAGAATACAAAGAGGAGACAATTTTGGGGTTCAGCTCTAACAGGTTTATTTTACTTGTGATAAGTAAAAGGAGTCAGTCAGGGGCTCATGCCTCTCCAAAAGACTGGATCTCAAGGAGAAGCAAGGATTTATATGGGTTTGGTGGGGACAATGGAGCAATGAATATTCAGTGGGTTTCTTTGAAGGAGCAGGTACTCCTTGGAATGGTAGTGCATACTGATTAGATTGCACGTGCATCTGGAATCCAAGATGGAACCTGCTGATACTCAAGATGGAGTCCCCTCAGCAGCTCTCGGCATCACTTCTTATGGGATATGGGATACAGCGCAGGCGCACTGATCTTCTGCATTACCTTGCCTCCTTCAGCGGGCCACAACAGCGATCACACTTTGTTCTGTGTGTGCGGAGCCTGTAAGAAGGGGAAAGGGACTAGAAAAACACGAAGGAGGAAGTAGTAATTCACAGGTTGTTCTGACCTTATTTTATGTTGACAGGATGTGATTCCTGTTTACCCAACTTCTAGGTGGTAGTCTTTTAACAGCTCTTTTATTCTGCCAGCACAGTTAACCCTATCTGTCTAATAATGTGGTACTAATACTTCAGCAGACTTTCGTAAGTGGTCTACTATGGGCATTCCATACCTAATCCTACACAACTGTGAACAATATTTGAGTAACTTTCCTACTTCAGAAGTAGTGCATATGGCCTTAGATATTAGCAAGAAAATTTGAGTTATAAATTGACAATAATGCAAAACCTTTTATCATAAAATCAAGGTTCCTCAGTGGTGCAAATGGTTTGCACAAGACTGCTGACTGAAAGGTTGGTGGTTGGAACCCACCCAGCAGCACTGTGGAAGAAAGGCCTGGTGATGTGCTTCCATAAAGATTACAGCCTAGAAAACCTTATGCAGCAGTTCTGCTCTGTAACACATGGGGTCGCTATGAGTCGGAATCCACTCCACAGCAAAGGGTTCAGTCCTTCTGGTATGTTGGTGGATGCCATCAGGTCAGCTTCAACTCATAGGATTTCCCAGGCTGTAATCCGCATGTGCAGATCACCAAGTCTTTCTCCAATGGAGACACTGGTGGGTTTGAACTGCGAACCTTCCAGGTAGCAGCTGAGCACTTAACCGTTGCACCATGCATGACCTTACATATTAGAAATAAAGTCTGATTTATAAATTGACAATAATGCAAAATCATTTTTCATAAAATCACAGAAGGCTGGACTCTATCATTTTATAGACGGTGAGGCCTGCAAAGCCGTGACTGCCCGAGGCTGCAGAGCTGGTGCCCACAGTGGCCTGGGCAGGCCCACTCTGGGTGCGGTGGCCGTGTTTCCAGGGTCCTGCGCTGTTCCTCCCTCAGAGGGGGCTTCAAAGGTGGTCAGACTCCAGAGGAATGAGGGCAGCTGTGTGCAAAATGATCAAACTCCCACTTCTGTTTTCTCCTTAGGAACCATTCACGACCTTCTTCCTGAATGCAAATGATGGGAAATTCGACCATCCAGATCGAACCTTCTCGTCAGTTGCAAGATCTTGGAGAACTAGTCAGAGGGATACTTCTGACGTAAAGGTAGGCTCTTTCATGTGTGGATATCAGTTGAATTCCAAAGTATGTGTAAATTGTGATATTTGTATTCGAGTGAGTGTGTAAGGTATTTTATACTGCAGTTTTCTTCTGTAATATTTTCTACATATATGGTACGTCTAACCTAAAAGGAAACTACAGAATAGTTTTGAACATTATAGAAAAGGATTCAGGATTCTTTTATTTTATATTACTCTGTTAAGGTGTTTTAGTTGTTTCAGAAACTCCCTGTCTAATTTAGATCGAATAATCAGGAGCTGGAGCGAAAAACCCATCAACTGCCTTTCCTGCTGTTAACTCAGTACTTGGCCTGTTCCATAAAACACAGCAGGAACTGGAGTTGACCTTAAAATGTCATATTGTTATAGCTTGCCTGGCTTTGGGTTTGCATAGCCTGGGGCAATTAATAAAGCATTAATGACAAGACCCATTTAAAATGTAGGCTTTTCTGTAAAGCTTTAGCTTTTTCTTGACTGTGCCTGGGGATGATGTGCAACAATACACATTAGATTAAACCAACACACACACAATATCCTAGACTCGCTGGAGAGGAGAGTAATTTCACAGTTGGTACTACTTAACTATTGTTAAACACAGAGGTCGCATATTCATTTACCTAGATTCTTATAAAAAGAAAATGGTTATATTCAAAACAATAACGCACGTTAGTTCTTCTCTCCTTTTTCACATTTTTTTTCCCTGAAAATAAGATTACAGAATTGGGTTAGTGCATAGGTTTATGTCTTTCTTATTTTAAGCCCTTTTTCTTCAAGGAGAATTTTCCCCTCATTGTCATCCAGACAGACCATGAAAATATCATGGTGCCACTCCACTCAGGGTCTTACTTAAGCCGATAAAAGCAATGAATTTGAGTCAAAATCGTCATTACATATCTGTGCTTCTCTATCGCAAACCGTTTTTTAAAAAGCAATTACAGTGCTGCTGAACTGTAAGAAAACTGGATAAATACAACAATTTTTGTTCCATTCTTTTTCAAAGCAGACAACAAAGTAAATGGAGCCAAGTAGACTGCAGTGTGCCTGTGTGTTTTGCTCACGGCCATCAGAGTTTACTTAAAGGAATATGAATTTGTGCAAACAATACTTTCACGTTCTGGAAGAAGTCGGAGAATCTAGCGGGCACCGTGGGTGTATTAAACCCAGATGACCCACGTTTTTCTTCTCACAGTCTTATAACTTCACTGAGGAATTAACTCTGATATATCCGTAAACCGTCATTTACACTGATGCTGCTAACCAGAAGGTCAGCGGTTCCAACCCACCAGCCGCACCACGGGAGAAAGATGTGGCAGTCTGCTTCCGTAAAGATTACAGCCTTGGAGACCCCGTGGGGCAGTCTGCTCCGTGCTGTAGGGTCACTATGAGTTGGAATCGACTTGACAGTGAGGGGTTTTGTGGGATATTAATGAAAGCAGGGAGGGAGTCAGTCCTTAATAACACTTTCAGTATTAACAGGAAATGGGAGCCGGTAGGCTTACTTGAATAACAGCATCTGGAGTTAGCACCATATTTATAAGATACTTCCAATAAATAGCTCATAAGTATGTGAATTAAATACCCTTATCTTTAATTTGGAGTCTCTGGGTGGTGTAAACAGTTAACACGATCAGCTGCGAACTGAAAGATTGAAGGTTCAAGCACACCCAGAAGCAGCTCAGAAGAAAGACCTGGCTGTCTACTTCCAAAATATCAGCCTTAAAAACCTATGGAGCACAGTTCTACTCTGACACACACGGGGTCACCATGAGTTGGAGCTGACTCAAAGACAACGTTTTTGTTTTGTTTTGTTTTAATCTGTAATGCAATGCTTCCTGTCACATCTAGCTGCTAACCAAAAGGTCAGCAGTTTGAATTCACCAGCCGCTCCTTGGAAGTCCTATGGGGCAGTTCCGTTCTGTCCTATAGGGTTGCTATAAGTCAGAATCGACTCAACAGCATTGGGTTTGTTTGTGGTTTTGGTATCCCATCTAAGATTATATCTTACTTCAGAGCTGTTGCTCGGTGCCGTCCAGTTGGTTCCAACTCATAGCTACCCTGTGTACAGCATAAGGAAACACTGCCCAGTCCTGCCTGATCTTCACGTTCATTGTCATGCTTGAGCCTATTGTTGCAGCCACTGTGTCAATCCATCTCACTGAGGGTCTTCCTCTTTTTCGCTGACCCTCTCCTCTACCAAGCATGATGTCCATCAGGCACTGGTCCCTCCTGATAACATGTCCAAAGTAACATGTCCGATTTCAGAGCTAGATCCATATTATATCAAGCCATTCCAAGTGAAAATACCTGTTCACTGTTATTTGACATCATCACAAAATAAAATTGGCTTTTCCCCTTAATTCCGAGATCCACGTCACTCGCTCAGGTACACACACATTTTGTCCAGTCATTCTAGTTTACGTATATAAACTTCAACCTTTCCTTTCTATCCCGAGAACTTTACTGATGCTTTTCACCACCAAATACATCACATATTCACACCCGACAGAGAGTCCGTCCTGCTGGCCAGCATCATAGGCCAGGCTTCTCCCTCCAAGACTGCTGGGAATTTTCACGGCAGTGTTACTTTTCAGAAAAACATTTTGTTAATAATTGTGCTTCTCTGGTTTTTGGGGTCACATCATCGAGGACGATGGCGTCATGGTTGTGAATAAGTAGGGAGGTTTTTTATTTTTTGTCCTCAAGCAGCTGTGCTGAAGAGAAACAGGTACTTTTTGTTCCCCAAGACTTAGTTTATAAGAAGCTCATTTCCCCAGCTAGACACTGCACAGAGTGCTCTTTTTTTCAACTCTCCCCACCACCGCGCCGAGCCTCCCAGGCCGCATGAGAATGTATCCTGAGCGTCTTTCCCGGCAGACCTGCGCCTTGAAAGGCTGCACGCTGCATACACGCATAGCCAGACGGCCTTATTTTCCCGCGTCTCGCGAGTTTTCTGCCGTTGATAGGGTGCAGTCTCACCACTTTTCTCTCGCTCTCTGTTAAGACTTCTCCCTCGCCAACACCCAGTGACACTTCCTTCTCTGACAGGTTTCCGCCTCCGCAGCTCATGGCTTTCTCAGGTTTTGTTGTTCCGTCATTTATTCACACTCTCCTCTTGATGGCTTGTTCGTCTTTCTCTCCGACGTTTACTTTTAAACACAAGTCTGCAGTGATTTCTTCATGACCTTTGTGTAGACATGTGAAGGTAATCCCTTCTAATGGGACCAGTGGCCCGAAGGCTATGCGCATTAGTAACTTTGAACAATATTGCCGAGTCATGGTCCACAAAGGTAATTCACGCCCTGGCTCAGTGTGTGAGCTCCCGGCCTCGTCACTGTCATGATGAGCATGGTAACCTTTGCTAAATCTGATACGTGAGAAATGGAGTCTCTCTGTTGTTGCAGGCATTTCTTTAACTATGAACGAATCAAGTCTATTTCATACCTTTATTCACCTCACAACTGATTCATTTACTTTGTCCATTTGTCAGTTGAGTTGTCTTTCGCTTGATTTGAAAAACAGATCTTTGAAACTGCAGAAAGTTGCAGGGCAAGTATTGTTTCTCAGTCTTTCCCCTTTGCTGCGCTTCAGTTATGTTTTTGTGTCTCTGAGTGCATTCTGTGCTTCCCTTTACAGCATTTGAATTTGGGCCCTCCTAGTCAGATGGTTAGGGTTAGGGTCCTAGTTCTAACCCTAACCCTAGCCCTAACCTAAACCTAGGCCTACCCCAACCAAACCCTAACCCTAGACCCAGAACTAGCACTAACATCAACCCTAACCCTAACCTTAGCCCTAACCCTAACACTAACCCTTGCCCTAACCTTAAACCTAACCTAACCCAAGCCCTTAACTTAGAGAGAAGACAGGTTTTTTTGGTAACACTGGTGGTGACTTGAGAATTTTCTAAACTCATGTTTAAATACATTGTTTAAAGTATATACTGTTTTTTTCTTTTTTCTTTTTAATGAGAGAAGATTTAGCAGGGAAAAATATATTAATAAGAGTAATAGTAGTTTTTCAAATTATATGTGAAAAGCTACGATTTTTTTTGTTTCTTCTCATATGAAGCTCTTAAAATATGCATTTGATATATATTTTAAGGAAATACTTCTCCATTTTCAGAGAAGTATCTCTGCAGTATCTACTGACTTAGCCCGACAATCACGTGGAAGAGAGCCGGAGAGAGTAGGTGGCTGTCCTCCGTCTCTATTGATGTCAGTCTCTTCCTGTGATCATAACTACACGCCGGGCACAGAAGGAGTGTTTTTGCAGTGACCTTTCAGGAGAGGCCTCCCAAGCTAAGGCAGACCAGTTAGTCCTTAATTTATTATTATTATTTTTAAATTTCTCTCCTCTGGCATGTAGTCTTGGTAACAATGACATTCGACTTACTTAAGTTCTTACACTAATTTTCCTTAATACCTTCAAAAGTTGTTATATTACTTTCTGAATAGCTATGTCGATGTCAGAAAAGGTAGCCGTGACAAAATGCCATTAAGGTGACACAGTGTAAATTAATACAGCTCACCGAGGGGCTGGCCGCTGGCTCACAGGTCCATTATGAGCTCCTGTGGAATTAAGGAATGCCAGGGGCTCAATCTTCTGGAAAAAAGAAAGAAAAGAGGTGGCAGCTTTAAAACCTTGAGTGAATTATATTAGAAAAGTGAAAATGTCTGGGCTGGATTTGATTTCACTAGGAAGCCATAAAATGGTGTACTCTCTCAGCAAAATATATTAAACCGAAATGTCGGATTGGATGCAATAGGTATGCAATTATGATAGTGTTAATAGTGATCTATCATTCTAAGACATACATTCAAGTCCAATTTCTCAGCAGCTTGAACTTGTCATAAGCTTGTAAATTAGAAATTGTGTTTGAGGATATTTTCTTGTTAGAGACAGAACGCATATAATACTATTAACTGCACCACGGGGCTTTAGAAGAGCCGTTAAAATAAACTAGAGATCGCATTTACTGACACAAAACGC